CTGCGCGCGCTGCACGCCGAGCTGCACGCCATGCGCGACGCCCTGCGGCCCTTGCAGGCCGAGGCGAGCCGCCTGCGCCGCTGCAACGGGAGCCTCGAGGAGCAGATGGCCCTCGCCAAGAGGAAGCGGGATGAAGAGGTCCGGCAGTACCGGGTACGCGCGCCGGGGACGGGGCTGCTCCGCACGCCGGGGCTGCTCCTCCTTCGGCGACGATGCGGATATTGCAGAGGGATGGCAGCGGGAGCGGGGCGATAAGGACAAGCGTTGCCTGTGGGCCCAGCATCCCTGCAGCCCGGCAGGTGGAGGTTGGGATATGGCGGGGAAGTGTCAAGGATTCATCCAGCCAACGTGCCAGGAAAAGGGGCTCCTAGGGTTCTTCTTGTTGCTTTGGGGGCAGGTAAAGGCAGAGAAGGGAAATTCCCATCCCGCAGTGAGATCCCAGGTGTGCTGAGGAGCCAGGACACAGATACTCAGCATGCACTTTTCCATCCGGGATTTAGCTTGGAGCTCTAAGGGAGCCCCTAAGTAGAAGTGCAGTGACTGAGCAGCGCTGTGATTGCGAGTTTTGCTTGAATTGGATGCTCAGTGTGAGAAGACTAACGCAAACATGAGCAACGAGGTCTCGGAGCCAGGTCCACAGGCCGGTTCAGCTGGTCCGGAGGAAACTCTGGATTTAGAGGCCCCGGGGCAGACGCTGTGCCCAGGAGCGGGTGCCCTGGACCCCGCTCTCCCGGCCGGGGCTTCTCCTTTAAAAGTCAATCCCTGCCCGGGCAGCTGCTCCCAGCAAAGCCTGGCCTGGCCGCCTGCCCCTTCCCGCTGCCAGGACGCGGGCGGCCGCTGCCCACGTTATTTATAAGCGAGCGCAAGGGCAGCGCCGCGCGTCCCCCCCGCTGCATCTCGCGCCAGGAGGATGAACAATTCAATCCCTCCAAGGGTGCATTTGGCAAAGAGGCTCCCATTAATCCTCAGCCTTCAACACTGCCAGCTGCTCGCTCCGTAACCGCGCTCTTCCCAGGCTGGCAGCTTCCCGAAGGAGCCGGTGTGTTACAGTGCAATCCGAGCTCTTTTTTTGCTGGGAAAGCAATGCTTTTTGTGGAGTTTTTTCCAAACTGTGGCAGTATTTCCCCATGTGGGTGTCCATAGGAGCTGGTCTCCCCCGTGTAATCCAGCGCATCTCTCTAACCCCCAGGAGCAAGTGGAGGAGCTGGAAGAGCGGCTGAAGGAGCTCAAGAACGGGGTGCAGCAGCAGCAGCGCAAGAACCAGGAGCTGCAGGAGCTGCGGAGCAGCCTCCACCAGGAGCTCTCCATCTACAAGTCAGTCGCCTTCTCTTCCCTTTGCCGGCGCAAAGCCGCGGAGCAGGGCAGCGAGGAAGGGCTCGTGGAGAAGCCTTTGGAAGGAGCCTCACACCTAGGCAGGGGTTACATAGCCCTGAGCTAAACCTTGGGCTCCCAGGAAATTCCAGACCCTTTACCCCTACGGCAAATAGCGATTTGATGGAAATTCCTGTGCAAATTACGAGTAGGGATTGTTTTCCAAGGAACAGCTCTGGCAACTTAAAGAGGAGCTGTTCCCTTATCAATACCTGGAAGGGGCACGAACCTGGAAGGGTTATCTTGTGCTCAGGAATCCATACTGCTGGCTTTGCTCGGGAATTCTTTATTATATGGGATATTTTAAAGCTCCAGAAAATGGTCACAACTTTGTGGACTATTTTACTTGCCTGGCTTTGTGTTCTTACTGCTACAGCTGCAGTGGTTACCACTCGTGACCATTTTCTGCAGTTTCACTGTTACTCTAGCATCCTTTTCCCTCATTTCCTCCTTCAAAGTTGCTTGTGCAAACATGCCACGGGAGGGTATTCCCTGCCATGGGCAGGGATACACAGGGAATTCTGTGTCTTTGCCATTTGGGATCCTTCTAAACCACAGGTTGTCGAGGCCAATATTTAAGCCTGGGTGCAGCAGCAGCAGCCTCGTAACCCCAGGGAATTTATGAATTGCCGTCAGTGGAAGCGATAGCGCGTTGGCCTTGGGAAACATGAGAGCACCTCATTATGTTTCCACGTTTGAACGGGGCAATCCGAGTTAAATACATCCCCGAGCTTGCGCCAAAGAGGAGCATTTGTCCCTGGAAAGCCCGGCCATCCGCACGCTCCCTGACCGTGCCCATAGCCCGCTGCTTCCCAGATGACTTCCAGGCTGGGAGAAGGAACAAGGCTTTTGGGATACAGCTTATGTCCCCATCCCCTGCTTCCATGAGGTCACATTCAGCGCCCTAAGTGCACTTTCTACCCATACAGGGGCTGCTTAGAAATCTACGGACACCTTTGCAAATCAGAAGAAAAAGCCGAGCAAGACTACGAGGAATGACGGCTTTTCCCGTTTTTAGCAAAAGCCAAGGAGAGAGGCAGCTGCAGGGGCCCTTTCCCGCTTGCTCCTTGCCCACCTGATGCAGAGCAGCTGCCCAAAACCAGGAATACTAGACAGAGTTGTTTGGATTTTGTGGGGTGCTGCTGTTGATCTAAGAAAACTGCTCTTCCCTAGAGGAGCAGAGAAAAATAGACTTGCACTGAAGATAGACATATATATATAAGAGTAATGGATGTATGTTTTGCTGTGATTGGAAATGTATCTTGTCTTGTTCATAGGTGACTGTACAAGCCTGCGCAGAAAGCACTGTCCTGGAAGCCTGGGGTAGGGGGTGATTTTTAAAGTTTACATGCAAGAGGAGCTTTATCCTTTTAACAGGATTTTCTTTTGTAGCTCAGTGGGTCTCTGCTGTATTGTGACATGTTCAATGTGGGCCACAAACTCAAGTTTGTGGATAAATGGTTTCCACTTTCTATAAAGTCTCGCACTGAAAATAAAGGCCAGAGTTTAAGGATCCTTTTATTTCTCAAACCGCTGTCTCAAAGACAGAGTAACAAGCTCCTCTGATCAAGCCAAGGTGTCCATAAGGTATCCAATTATTCACATTACAGACTACTAAAAAAAATAAAAGTTCGGTGCTAAGGGTTAGGGGAGCACATCTGTGTTGCAAAAAACATTCTCCCTTCACGAACATAAAAATGTCAGAGTCACCACAGCTCCCAACGTCTGAAAAATACCCTTGGAAGATGCTACAGCACCCTACAACTTGGCAAGGGAAACTAATGGAGCAGGGAGGGATACAGAGGTGATTTGTTTGCATTAAAATCACTGGGACATCATTGAAATAGGCAACAACCTGATGAGGGGCAGAGGAAAGAGCAGGTATATCCACACCAGCACCCAGCATCTCATCTGGGCTCCGTTTGCCCCTTTTCTCCACTGCAGAATTTCCTGCTTAAACCTTAAGAGGCCTCCTAGAAGTCATCGCTGTCTTTTATGGGCATAAAACCTCTACACACTCACTTCAGCACTTTCTTAAGAGGTACAGTTCAGCCTTGAGAAAGGAGTTAAGGCAGAAGAAAAACATCTGCACAAAACAAAGCTACACGGCTTTTACGTAGAAAAATTTATTCCATCTGAAGCACTTACACGTAATTAGTCATGAAGAGCATGGAGAGGAAGAGGTTGCTGGTGGAACAGGACACCCTAGGGGAAGATGTGCAGGAACTAGTGGTCAAGGACTAACTCCTAAAAGAAGTTGTTGATCCACGTGTAGTTTGTTTAACGTATACCAGCTACCAGTGCTGTTTTGGATCACTGGGCTTGCCATCTGCAGGACGTCAGTCGGTAAAAACATACACCTTGACAACTTGGTGGCCCCAAGTTTTAAAAACCATTTCACAGAAAGGAAAGAAATATATGTGAAAACACAGCTCAAGAAACAGACACTAGAGCAAGATACCCTGTTCCCCCTCCATGTATCCAAACCGCTGTCGCGCAGCAGATCGGAGAAAAGGGGAGGGAAAGAAGGAAGGAAACAATGAAAACACCAAAATTACCAGTGGAGAGGAAAAAAAATATATATATAGAAAGAAATGTAATACTAGTTGAAGTCAGAATCTGCAGGTCTGTTTTGTATCTGCAAAGGCAGAAATACCCACACAGGTCGGACTAACTACAGGAACCCCAAGACTTCTGAGTCTTGCTGAAGAGGACAAGACCCCCCACACCCTCCCTTTCTGAACTGTTAGGAATTAACACTTTTATCCTCTGTATGGCATTGACTCAAGCATATTCTGGCAGCTCTACCAATTTAACTTTTATTTAAATTAGGCAAAAACCCATAGCTGTAGCAAGCCAAAGACAGAAAGACTTAAAAAAAAAATAGGTTGCTCTGTGTGACAAAGGCAGCTAAAATGGGCTAAATGGGATAGCCAGCTCTATACACAAGAGGTTGCTGTAAGAAATCCAAACAAGAAGCTACAGCGTGGTACCCGCTGTCTGGGCTAGAAAGCATCGTTGATGGTATCTACATAAGGATGGCTGAACACAAAGTCTACGTGTGTCTCAAAACCAGTGTTAAATCAATTTGAGGGTTGAGAGGGAAGAAAGGGAAAAGACTAAGAACAGGAAAAGGTCATCATCTAGGATCCTTGACCTTCTGGATCCACGCTTCCTTCAGGGTCTTCATCATTATATATGTTCTCAGCCTGCAAGATAAGGGAGATGGAAAAGCTGAGGGAGCACGTAGCATCATAGTTAATAGGATTGTTACTGCTGGAACATTTTGAAGAGTTGTTGTTTCAGCTTCAGATAAGTATCTCCTATCTATGATCCCTCAAGGCCAATGAGCATTAAAGAAGCAACACAAACAGCCTTTTTTCATAAAAGTCATTTTCAAAACATTTCAGAAGCATTTTTCAAGTTAATGTAGCTTTTAGGTATCTGCTTTCTTAATCTGCATATCACTACAAGAGTTACTTTAAAAGAGTATTTTGCATAGCTATAATACACTCTCTATTTTGCAGCAGCATCTGCCAAAAGAACTATATAGAGCAGTGTTAAGAACAGAGACCGTATTAAGAACACAGCTGCTGTGAGCCAATTCATAAACAAAAATTGGAAGAATGACCTTGTCAGAGGTCATTCAAGTTACACAAGATTATTTTCTAAAATTTTAAACAGTGCTAATTTGAGCTCAGTATATTTTTTCTACTTACTCCCACCTCTTTCCATCTATGTGGAAACATTTATATTATCTACAGAGATTTAATTCTTTAAGACAATAGTTAACAGCACCTTCAATTTCACCTTTGGTTCTCATACACTGTATTTTCATTCTAACATGAAAGAGAAAAAAAACACCTTACTCCTACTTTTTTTTAAGTCATGAGAAACATGAAGCAGCTTTTCAGTATTTGTAAGTCCTTATTTCTGTCAAGCCTAAAATGGATTTCACAATCCCCTTGAGGTTTTAGCTAGTGCTACAAAGCAAGTCGTTCTGAGAGCTGTAAATAAACCCAGGAATGCTGAAATCCAGGCAGTTAAACACCAGCTCCTGTCTACCACCTCCTGCACTTTCCCCAACGACTTACCATTTGCCAGACTTGCATGATGTTATCTTCTGATACAGAACAAATTACCCAGGGTTCATTTGGATTCCAGGAGAAATCAGATATCTTTGCAGTGTGACCACCATGAATAAACTGGATTGGAGAAACAAGAGAATGTTTTCAAATCATTCAATTAAATCTTCATTGCAGAGATGAAGAGTTTAAAGAGACCCAAAGACTTACCAACAGCTCTGGAGGGCCATCCTCAGCATCCTCAGGGGACTGCTCTTCTCCAATTTTACTGTAATAAAAACAAGGGGAATCTTAGTTTTTCTTTTTCCTTCCTCCTCTCAGGTGTGATATACAATTCAGGAGTAATATTTGTCAGGACAACATGACTAATTTGGGATTTACCTCAAGTCCCAAACATTTAGCCTGCGGTCAGTGCCACTGGAGGCCAGTATGGTTTCGTTATGGGGAGACCACTGAACCTACAGACAAAAAACAATTTAGAAAAGAAGTTAGTTTTAAGAAGATGCAGCATGGCAAACGGTCATGACAGACATCAGAGTGTTTTATAGCAGGAAAGCTCTATGAAAATTCAAATCAACATCAACTTAATATTCTCACACAGGAAGTGTGTTTGGGAACATTCACACACTGAAGAGGCATTTGAGCTCCAAAGGTACCTCTTGGCCTATGCTCTAACAAAGGCTACATGCTACAAAATGTAAAGAGTCCCAATGACATTAGCTGCTCCTCATCTTAATACAGAGCATGCAAACAATGTATTCATTAAGGAGGAGGAATGGTTTATAAATGAAAACAAAACAAAAAAGGGACTGTAATTAAGCTTAACAGCCCCAAAAGCTCACATCTCACTGCTGGAGATAAGCGGTGTGTTTTGGAAAGATTTAATAGGATAACAGGATTAGGAAAGAGCACAGAGCTCTGCACACAAACCTGGCATGTCAAGATTCCAAGTATAATTTTATTTAGAAGTAACTACAGTCATCAAGTAACAATCCTTCTATCAAAAAAAAAAAACTCTACATATTTTTCTTCTGAGGCACGCGTGAGTTGAAGATGGAAATATTGTTTCTGTGAAGCACATGCTACCAGTGATGTTAACGTTCTATATTTATACTAGTAAAATTTGCAATCATTCACTGTCACTAGCTGGCCTGGCAATCCCCTTAATCGGTCACCAGGCAAAGCCCTCCTATGGGACCAGGCTGGGAAGACAAAAATGCTGCAGCCGCTTCATCGTGCCTCCCTGCTTCAATCTGCTGCCATGAATAATTTAGATTTGCTCTGTACTGATAGCATTTCACTCTGCGTTGTGGACAAAGCTCTCAACTCTCTCCTTGTTCCATCCTCTGCTTGGCTTTCTGGACATCCCTATCTGTACTGGAGTTCTGCCCCACACAGATGGCTCCAAACGATAAGCTAACAAAATCTCGAGTAGATGAGAGAAAATATATGAGTTTTTAATGCAAATGTATTCAATACAAATGTAAGTTGAAAATAAATGTTGTTCTTCAAGATAATTAAGAAGAGCTAAGTCAAAGTGCATAAAAGACATTTTGTTATACCTGGAATATTTCATCTTTATGTGATTCAAACGAGTGCAGCTTCAGCTTCAGGTTCCTCAAGTCCCACAGAGCAACAGTCTGGTCAAAAAGCAAACAAAACCATCAAAAAGTCTTTTTTTTTTCTGAAGTAATCAACACATACATGCACATTCATGCAGTGGAAACTAGGCAAAAGTGCTCCAAGCTCAAGGCAGACATACCTTATCAGCTGATCCCGTAGCCAGGATAAATTCACTATAGGGATTAAAAGAGAGGCAGTTGACTTCAGCAGTGTGAGCATCCACCGAATGACTAGGCTTGGAGGTGTTATTTGATCGAGTATCCCAACTGTAAAAAGAAAATATAGAATGGAAACAAAGGTTTATACCCCATTTTACTGAGGTAGGGTGTAGCTGGGAAAGGAAAGGGATGGCAACTTTGTTTTTTGAGACATTATCCTACTTACATCATAAGCTTCTGATCATCAGCAACAGATCCAAAAAGAGATTCGTGGAGCAGGTGCCAGGATACATCTTCTACTACTGCTGTATGCCCTGTGAAGATGGTCTTTGCATCCACCACTTTGCCTTCTTTTGGAACAGCACTAATATCCCACAAGCAGATGGTCTTGAAATAAATAAATCAATTCAATCAACAGAAAGACTGCACCTTTAGGCAGCAACTCTATCCACCCTCCCCCAAAACCTCCCAAAAGCAAGAACTTTTGCCAAACAAAGTGCAGATTTCATCACAGCACTCTGAAGTACTCACATGATCATCAGAAGCACTGAGCAAATGCCCGCTCAGGTTTGGGTTCCAAGACAGCCCATAACCCTCCTTCTGATGTCCACGAAGACGCAGGTCAGGGTTACACTCCCCAGAAGGATCTGTAAAGATGCAGCCTAAGAACTCAGGTGCCTAAATGTTTGACACGAGTCTTGCTGTGCTTTACTGAACTTTGACATTGCCCACAGCATCCCTCCCTGCCCTTCTGAACATTTTCCCTCAGCAAAGAGTTACCTCATTGAAACAGAATGCACTGAGGCAACACACAGCCAAATTTCCTTTTGACCTAATAAGAGCACACTGCAAGCTTTTCCAAGTTGCTGTTTTCTGCAGCTGGATCATCTAGGAATGCTCTGTTCTAAATCCATATCACATTGTACTACTTGCTGAAGGGCAAAGACACCCACTCAGCCACCTGCATGCTTGGCTTGACACACCTGGTCAAGCTGAACGGAGTAACCCCGATACTGCTCAAAAATCCTTCCTAAACAATCTGCTGGAGCGTCACGCTTCATCTCCAACTGCACTTGGAAGTTAGAAATGCTCTTCTGATCCTCCTACAACCAGCAAAACTAGTCATTCTATATGATCTTGCCCAATTCATCAGGAAATTCCTATCACTACCCTTGGACCAGGAACACAGCTCAGCTACACAGCAAATCAATCGCCAACTGGCCAGTAAGTACCTTCCACCCCTCCAAGTACCATTATATACATGGCAAAACATGCAAAAAAGAAGCAAAATGACATATATTGGAGTATATCTGTATAAGCTTCATTAAGTACTACATTAAGTAGTATTTTACACTCAATATCCACTTGCCTTTCAAATTACAGATGAAATGCAGCCCATAACTTCTCAGTGTCTTTTGCACAACCATCACCTTTGCTTGAGGAATGGCTGGTAAAGACTTTTGCTGGGTTCTGAGGCACAGACACAACAAAGATGCAGATACCTGGTTTAGAAGGGTGCTTGGTGTAATCAAAGACAAGAACATCACTGGATGGTGTCTTGGTGGCAATTATGCAGGGGTTTTGCGGCATGTAACGTGCTCTGTTAACTTCTCCCTCGTGATTGATCTTGATCTCAATTTCAATCTTCCCGCTAACTGACCCAAAGCCTCCAAATTCTGAAAAGAGAATTCAACAGTTGTCAATAACATGACACTTTCAGACAAGATCTAGAGATCCATACTCAATTACTGGGTAGACCAAGTACATATTTTGACAGGACAGTTACACACACACATTGAAAAAAACAAGCCATAACATGTTAACTAAAATAACCCAGTTTTCAAATCACATGTTATTTTCAACATCCATAGTTGTAGCATCAAAATACCAGCTAAGTTTAGAGCCAGAGACATATATTTTTATAAATAGTAGTTTATAAAGTAGATTAGTAAACCTACTAACTCCTTTCTTCAAAATTTTATTACTAAAACATTACAGATGTACATAATACGTTGCATTTGTCTGTTAAATGTACAGCTGAGAAACAAACTGTTTGTTTTAGACGTAGTTTCTGTACTTCATTGGCTGAAAGCTAGGGAGAGACCAATATCTCTTAAAATGGGGAGGAAAAGACAGCTAAAACTCCACTCGATTCACATCTCTGGTCCTTACCTCCTTTCTCACTATCATAGTGCGAAGCATCGAACTGTGCATCATCGTTAGGCAACTGCACACTAGCTATCACAAGATGATTTTGTTCATCTGAGGTATGGGTCCCCAGGACTAACCGATGAATACTGAAGTCTTTGCCCTCGGGTCTGCAAGAGAAGAGAAATATGTAAGAAAGAAAAGGAGTTTACACTGACACTGAGCAGATTAAAACGTTTAACTCCGGGTCTCAACTTGAAATTCTCATAGCACAGTCTATATCTCTAAATAAAAGAAACACAGCACCACTCCCTTCCCTTCTCTTAAGAGTCATTGCAACTCTCCAGGACAAATAAAAGAAACACAGCACCACTCCCTTAAGAGACATTGCAACTCTCCAGGACGAACTTTGAGGTACACAAACATAACCTGCAAAAACATTGGTCTGGAAGCTAAGGACAACACGGTGCCACACTGTACAAGACAAGTTGCCGACAGCGCTTTGGTACTGAAACTTTATTTCCTTCTGTTTTTTGCAGAGAGGGTTTTTTCTTTCTTAAGTGTCGGGTGAAGCTGAAAAAAAGACTGCAAAATCAAATGTATGAAAATATCTTCTCAATGATAAATGACATTTTCCTCTTTAAAAAATAAAGAGGCTCATTTACCTTGTCACATCAGGAAGCCACTGAGCAGTCAAGCTGGGCCATTCCAGCGCATGGGTCATTACCAGATCATATAAGAAGGGCGTATTCTTTTTCCATATTTTATACTCTTCGTTGATCACACGTTCCTCCACTGCATCGTCAAAGGCTGCTAAAGGTTGGGTTTATTTTTAAATGCATAAAATTAGCCTTTATGAACATATTCAAGACATACAGACAAAGCCACGAGCGGACACTGGATAAAAAACTACAACATCACCCCGCTTTGCTGGCAGAGCAGCGGGGTTAGTTATTAAATCACTCGAAACCCTCTTTGCACGTGATAATGTGTTTCCATGTATACGGCTCCAAACTGACCTCGATTATGTCAAACTGCATCACCTCAAAGAAGCAGTATAGCAAAACTACGGAATATTGTGCCACGGGTTACGGGGGGAAACAAAAATAAGGATATTAAGGATGACGAAATGG